CTGGAGTTCATCTTCCATACTCTCCACTACCCCGGGGCCCCCACAACACGCCCTTGGAGAGCCATCACCCCGTGGGGCCTCCAGATCACGCCCTGGAGCCATCACCCCGTGGGGCCTCATATCACGCCCCTGAGAGCCATATCCCCGGCCACGGATTCATAGGAGGCGAAGGATGTACTGACTGGGGGCACTGCGTCGCGCCCTGGAGTACTTCATAGGATTGGATAGCTTCGTAGGATGGGTTTAGTTCATTGGATGGGCTGATTCATAGGATGCGAAGGATCCCTAAAATCTCACGCTGGGATATCCTACAGTTCTGTATTCAGTGCTGGTAGACTGTACATTCCTGCCAGAAGGATCTCTAAAATACAATATCTATAGCCTGAAGAACTTATACAGGAGTGCTGAAGGAGAGAGAGAGAGAGAGAGAGAGAGAGAGAGAGAGATAAAGAGATAGAGAAGGAGAGAGATAGAGAGAAGAGAGAGGAGAAGAGACACCTCCCCCAGCCCCAGGGGGACGACGGCAAGTGAATCCTCCCACCTCGCACCCAGATGGTTCTCTCCTGCCAGCCTCAGCCTCCACTACCATCAGCTCTCCCTCTCCCTCCCTCTCCCTCTCTCTCCTCTCGATCTCCCTCCCTCTCCTCCATCTCCCTCCTCCTCATCCTCTCCCTCACTCCCTCACCCTCCCTTACCTCTTCCTCACCCTTACTCCCCTCCTGTCCCTCACCTCCTTCCTCCCCTACTCACCCTCACCCTCTCTCCCTCTCTCCCTCACCCTCCCCCACCCTCCCTCACCCCTCTCCCCACTCTCCCTCACCCCTCCCCCACCCTCCTCACCCTCTCTCCCCTCCCCTCACCCCTCCCCTCTCTCCTCCCCTCTCCCCTCTCCCTCACCCTCTCTCCCCTCATCCCCTCCCCCACCCACCTCTCCTCACCCTCTCCCCCACTCTCCCTCACCCCTCTCCCCCCCTCCCCACCCCTCCACCCTCTCTCCCCTCTCTCCCTCACCCCTCCCCCCCTCCTCACCCTCTCTCCCTCTCCCCTCCCCCCTCCCCCACCCTCTCCCTCCCCCCTCCCCCACTCTCCCCTCCCCCTCTCTCCCCACCCCTCCCCCACCCCTCTCCCCCTCCCCACCCCTCTCCCCCCCTCTCCCTCACCCCCTCTCCCCCACTCCCCTCCCCTCTCCCTCACCCCCTCCCCCCCACCCCTCCCTCCACCCCTCTCTCCCTCTCCCTCCCCCCCCTCCCTCACCCTCTCCCCCACTCTCCCCTCACCCTCTCTCCCTCTCTCCCTCACCCCTCCTCCTCCTCCTCTCCTCCTCTTGGGCCCTGGGGCGACGCTTCCCACCTGGGAACTACAACCAGATTTAACACCTTATAGCAGAAGAGTTTACCCGCACCTGACTCACCCCCCACCGCACCTGACTCACACCCCCCCACCCGCGACCTGACTCACCCCCACCACCTGTCCCCACCCACCTGACTCACCCCCCACCCCGCGACCTGACTCCCACCCCCCCCACCCGCGACCTGACTCACCCCCCACCCGCACCTGGCTCACCCCCCCACCTGACTGACTCCCCGACCTGGCTCACCCCCCACCACCCACCCCCACCACCGCTACCTGACTCACCCCACCGCGACCTGACTCACCCCCCCCCCGCGACCTGACTCCTCCCACCGCGACCTGGCTCCACCCCACCGCAGTCGACACCCCCCACGCGACCTGACTCACCCCCCACCACCCGCGACCTGACTCACCCCCTACCCCGCGACCTGACTCACCCCCCACCATCGACCTGACGGAAAGACGCGACCAGGTGAGTTAGGTTGGAGTCTTGTTTGAGTGTGAGAGATAGTTCGCAGAGATACTGTTTGGAGTGAGAGATAGTTCATAAGAGATACTGTATGGTGTGAGATAGTTCATGAGAATACTGTATGGTGTGAGAGATAGTTCATGAGAGATACTGTATGGTGGTGAGAGATAATTCATAGAATACTGTATGGTGGTGAGAATAATTCATGAGAGATGGAGTTGGTCACTCTCTCTATCTCTCAATATATCACAAAGTCTCTTGGTTTCTGACGTTGCAGCAGAAATTCTTGGAGATATTTCTGGAATTATCTCAAATCTAATCGGGAACGGACGGGGCGTGGATGAAACAGACGGACAGGTGGACGGACTGGTGGATGAACGGACAGACGGACGGACAGGTAGACGGAAGGACGGACAGACAGATAGGACAGAGACCATTTCTCAGTTCTAAACCATCATGACCCGTCCTCCACACACACACACACACACACACACACACACACACACACACACATACCCATACACACAAACATACACACACACACACACACACACACACACACACACACACACACACACACACACACACACACACACACACACACACACACACACACACACACACAATACACACACACACACACACACACACATACACACACACACACACACACACACACACACACACACACACACACACACACACACAACACACACACACACACAAACATACACACACACACACACACACACACACACACACACACATACACACACACACACACACACACACACATACCCACACACACACACACACACACACACACACACACACACACACACACACACACACACACAATATCTCACGTTTGCAGTACAGTTCAAACCACAAGTCATACACACGTTCCCTCCTTCCTTCTCTTCCTTCCTTCCCCTTCCTTCTCCTTCCTTCCTTCCTTCCTTCTCCCCTCTCCCCGCCGGGAACGGAGACCGGACCCAAAAAGCCAAGGAAGGTTACAAAGACACGTTCACTCTCCATCACAAGCGAGGGAACGTGTCACATGAATACCGACCTCAGGAACGACCAGGAGGAGGATGCGGAAGGAGGGTGGGTTGGGGGTGTGTAAGAGAGAGATGGACTAGACTACTAGGTCAGTTTCAGGCTCAAAAAATATGTTGAGATTTGCTCTTTTTTTTTCATTATTCTCGTCCCTTCCATTCTCTCTTCCTCTCCCTTCCCACTTCCTCTCCTTCTCTCTTTCCTCCCTTCTTCCCTTCCCTTCTCTCTTCCCTCTCCCTTCCCTCTTCCTCCGCCTTCTCTCTTTCTCCTTCTCTTCCTCTCCTCTCGTTTCCTCTCCCACCCCTTCTCCACTCTCTCTTATCCTCCCTCCCTCTCTCCTCCCCATCCCCCACTTCGCCCCTCTCCCCCCTCCCCTCCCCCTCCCCTCTCCCCTTCCCCCTCCCCTCCCCCTTTGCTAATAGCCAATTGGTACATCAATTATTAACATCGTTTTAAGGAACTGGACCAATTAGTTACAGTTCAGTAGTTATTATTGGCGTAGGGTTAATTAAGTGCTCATCTCTGCCCGTCTGTCTGTCTGTCTATTTGTCTGTCTATCTGTCTATCCGTCTGTATGTCTGTCTATCCGTCTGTATGTGTATCTGTCTGTTGGTCTATTCTCCTGCTCTCTATCTCTCTATCTCTCATTTCTCATTTTTCTCACTTTATCTCACCATCTACCTAACCACCACACCGTCCTATCATTTAATTTATCTATTAACCTCTCTCTCTTATCCCTGGACGTGGGTAAGATGTGGACTTCCGACCTCTGGGCAGAAGTCCTTCATTCTCTGACTTAGCATCCTTTAGGATTTAGGGGACTTGAGGACGCTCTCTAACTCCCCAAAGTCCTTTCTCTCTGAAGGACGTCAGTTTCACCTCCACCCTAGGTCCTTTGGGAGTGTTAGGGACGAGGACTCCAGAGTATCCTTAAATCCCAAGGTCCTTGTCAATTTGAGGACCCTTTGTAAGAAAGCCGTAGGATGCAGGATTCCTTTTACTCTCTTGAGGATCCTTTGGCCCCAGGTCGTAGGATCCCAGAGGCTCACACGATCACGGAAGTCCTACGGAAATCTCTGTGTAGGTTAGCACACACACACACACACACACACATACATACATACACATACATACATACATACAATACACACACACACAAACACACACACACACACACACACACACACACACACACACAAACACACACACACACACAAACACACACACACACACACACACACAAACACACACACACACAAACACACACACACACACACACACACACAAACACACACACACACACACACACACACACACACACACACACACACAGGTGACTATACACACCTGGTCGACTCCACCAACAAGCCCCCCCCTCAACACCCAACCTAAGGTCCGTCAGTAAGGTCGTGAGTCCTGTGTTACCTGAACCTGATATCACCCTTATCATCATGGAATGTCACCTGTCTCCTCCTTAAGGGTGATTGTCTTGTGTTTATTGACCTGAGTTACCGCCCTTGTTGATGTTGTTATAGTTGTTTCTTGCCTCTAGGGATTTTGTATGTCGTGTGCCCACTTATGACCCTTGTTGATCTTGTTATAGCACTTTCTTGTGTCTAGGGATGATTTTGGTATGTCGTGGCCTACTTATGACCTTGTTGATCTTGTTATAGCAGTTTATTGCTCCTAAGGGTGATTTTAATACGTCATGTGACCGAATTATGACCCTTGTTAATGTTCGTATGGCTTTTTCTTGCTTCTAAGGTGATTTTAGTATGTAATATGACCTAAATCTCGCCTTTGTTGAGCAGTATATCTCTTTCTTGCCCATAGTGCAAATTTCTCCTATGTCTTTCCCACATAAGGTTGAAAATCATGTGTTTTATGGTTGGGTTGATCGCTCTATTGTTTTGTCACGTCAGGTACACCTCATCATCGCCACTACAGGCACTCGACATCGCCAGGCGGTGGAGTGAGGACATCTAGTGCAGTAGTTTGAGAAAATTGAAGAATCATTTTAATAAGTGTGTGATGGGGGGAGTTGTCGGGTGTCGGGATGTCGGGTTGTCGGGAAGCCGTTGTCGGGTTATCGGTTAGTGTTAAGATAAATTCCCAAAAGATCTTATACTTAAAAAAATATATATCGTAAATAGACAAAATAAAACCTAACCTAACCTAACCTAACCTAACCTAGCTTAACCTAACCTAACCTAACCTAACCTAA